GTGAAATCAGGCTTCTAATAACCCACATACGACATTTTCCTTCTGTACCTAGCTTATTTCATTTGAAACCATGAGCTCCATTTTATCACACATAACGGGGTCTCTCTTTCCTCAGGGCTATACCATCTTTCATCGTGTGTACATGTCACATTTTCTTTGTTCGTTTTTCTGTTGCTAGATACTTAGGGGGCTCCCATGTTTTGGCTGTTGTAAATACTACTGCAATGAACATGGCTGTAGAGATAGCTATTAAATTCCTAGAATAGGAACTCGAAAATGGGATTGCTGGACCATAAACGTGAAAAATCTCCACACTGCTTTCCATAATACACGCACTAAGTTAATATTACCACCAACAGTGTTGTGTTATCTTTACTCCATATTCTAACACTTCCCATTTATAAGTGTTAAAAGGTACAAGGTAAAATTCCATTGTAATTTTAAATTGTATTTCTCAGATGCTTAATGATACCGATACTTTTCACATAATTATTCACCATTTATTTTCTTTTGAGAATATCTTGTCATATACTTTGCTTTTTAATCTAATAGTATTTTTTCCTTGATATTTGATTGTTTAATTTTTTTAAAAAAATTATGTAGTTCTTTTAAAAAGGCAGATTTATAGAGAGAAGGAAACACAGAAAGATCTTCCATCCACTGGTTCACTCCCCAAGTGGCAACAACGGCTGGAGCGGTGCTGAGCAGAAGCCAGGAGACAGGAGATTCTTTTGGATTCCCAACGTGGATACAGGATTCCAAGCCTTTGGGCCACCCTCTACTGCCCTCCTAGACCACAAGCAGGGAGCTGGGTGGGACACAGCCAGCACCCATATGGGATCCCAGCATATGCAAGACAAGGATTTGCCAGTAGGCTATCACACTGTGTTAGTTATTTAAAAAGGTTGAGTTATAGTTCATACGATACTACAATACTAATACGTGCAGCTAATTCCCTCAGCTTGATTCTTTACCGTGAACTAAAAACACCAGACGCAACAAGGTTTATCCCAGCGGGGAAGGAAAAGGGGAAGAGGGGAGAGGGAGGAGAGGCTGGAAGGAGGAGGAGAGCCTGAGGGAGCAAAGAAGAGAGCCGCACCTGGGGGCCTTTTTGTCTGCCAGGTGTTGGGGGACGGGATTGAGAGGAACTGAGGGCAGACCCCAGGGGATTGGCAACTGCAGGTGAATGCCTGGGGATGATTGGCGAGTGGGCGGGGTTAGGGAAGGGGCTGGCAGATTGGGGGTGGGATTCTCAGGTGGAATGCCGGGTTACATCTGATTGGTGGACAGCTAGACCGGTGCGAATTTCATGAGCTCTGAGGAAGAAGAAATGGCACCGTGTCCAGGGTGGGATATTCAAATAACTCCTTACACACTGGGCACAGCTGTTTGACTTTCTTGCCTAACAACGTGCATGATTTATACTTATTCAATCTGTGAGTTTTCACTTTATTCTGAAAGCTTTTTTCTGTGAATTTTTCTTAGTGTGGTATAATCTCATTTCGCTTTTTTTCTTTCTTTGCTTTTAGAGTCCCATTTAAGAAATTATTGCACAAATAAGTGTTATAAACGTTCCCTCTTAGGTTTTCCCATAATAGTTTTCTACTTTCAAGAATTAAATCTTTTCTTCTTTTGGGAAGAATTGTTGCATATGTTGTCAGATAATTATCTGAATTTAATCTTCTTTTGTGATTATCCAGTTGAAGAATCTCAGGATCAAAATTCCAACCATTTGCTCATGGCTCATTGCCACTAAGAAACTGTGTGAGCTTGCAGGCCAAACAGCCTATGTGACCTTTGGCACTGATGGGTTCCAATGCTTATAAATCAAGGCCCGCCTAAGTCTGGTTATCTCACAGGTGGCTCCAAATAATTAATTAAATGGCTGCTTATCTTAGTTGTCCGGAGGCATGGACTGTCCAGCCAAGATAGATAGGGAAATGGGTGGTATTTCTCTTCACCTGGCAGGCTATTGTGGACTGCCCCTATAAAAACCCTATGAATGAGCCATACCCCAGTAAGGGGTGTTGGTCCCTGCCGGCCAGCTGGCTGCTCTCAACCAAGAACCCAGGCTCGGACGTGCTGAGCTTGAACAAACCATCCTTGTGCGTTTGGATCGACTCCAGACTCCTGGTGATTTCTGGGAATCTCAAGAATCTGGGCATAACACAATTCTTCCAACACCATTTACTGAAAGAAACTAGAGTTTCCCTACTGTGAGGTTTCGGTAATCTTGTCAAAAATCAACTGGTCATAAATGCTAGTACTCTGCATGGCTTTCAGTCCTGTCCTACTGCTTGCTGGGACTGTTTTCAGGACAGTGCTGCAGGCTGTGAACAAGGTAACGCCAGACAAGTCTCGGGTTTATTAAGTAAGATCAAGCGTGGTGAGAACAGGGCCCATTAGAAATAGCAAATCACAAGTCCACATGGCAATCCAGTCCATTGAAACCCCAAGACGAACAGATGGCTATTACCCTCAAGTCCATCTGTTAAGCTGGGACCTACGTCCCAGCCTCCCCAACAATAGAAGTTATCCTAAGAGACATACAGCAAACAACCTGGGCACACTTACAAAGCTGCAGACATTCCCCTTGCCCTGGCTTCTCTGCCCACATTCCACTACTGCTAGGCCTCACCTCTGCTGGAACTCCTGACAGTACACAAATCAGTAATACAAGGCATCTTAGTATTGCCAGCTTCACTGTCCCTCCCTAGCAGTGAACACAGGGCGAGGAATAGACACACAGGGGCCATGCTCAGGGGACACCTGTCCTCAGAGTCTGTCCTGGGAAGATCACGAGTCGGAGTGCCAGAGCAACAGAAGCATGTGACCTAGAGAGTGAGCTTGTGAGGGGAGTAATTGCACAGCAATGCAGTGCCACTCCCTCTCAGGTTCCAGGTGGTGATAGGTGGGCATCACAGGTGGCAGGAGTGAATACGTAGCTGGTGGTGGGAGAGTGTTTTCCAAGTGTGTGACCCTGAACCAGCTGCCTACCTCACTATAATATATGTCTCTGCCTTCTTCTCTTGCTCCCATCTCTACACTACTGTATGAGACCCACTCTATAACATCTATTTTCCATTCTGGTCTTCTCTTTGGTTACTCCTTGCTTTTATTCCGTCAAGCATTTGCCTCATCTCTTTCATTCAAAGTGTTAAGCACATGTTCCCTGTTTATGACCCCAGAATACAGTGTGCACACAGCTTTAACACACTGTCCATACTAGACCTCAATGGCCCGTACCATTAAAGGACTGGGATTGAGTTTTATTTGCTTTACAATTTTTAGGACACAGAAAGTGCCAGGTGAACTGGAACACTCAAAGGCTAAGTCAAAAGAGTAAAATAAACGAATATTCTGGGTCAACATGTCTTCAAAGAAACGTCTGAGGGCCCAGCACAACAGCGTAGTGGTTAAAGTCCTGGCTTTGCACCCGCCAGGATCCCATCTGGGCACCAGTTCTAATCTCGGCGGCCCCGCTTCCCATCCAGCTCCCTGCTTGTGGCCTGGTAAAACAGTCGAGGACAGCCCAAAGCCTTGGGACCCTGCATCCGCGTGCGAAAACTGGAGGTTCCTGGCTCCTGGCTTGGAGAGTGAATCATCAGACAGAAGAGCTTCCTCTCTGTCTCTCCTCTCTGTATATCCTACTTTGCAATAAAATAAATAATAATAATAAAAAGAAACAGCTGGGTTCATCATTTCAGCACTTCTTACATTTCATAAACGTGACAAAAAACAGCTTGTCAGATTTTTCTTCCAACATCTTCCCAACTTCTGAGATAACTATAAATACAGTCAGCCAAAAGAAATGTTACTAAACGTTATTATTTTCATTAGGAAGATGGCCCTGTGTGGAATATTTGGGTCTTGATATTCAGAAGTCTTCACTAGAAATCAACGTGAAATTAAAATCATCTACAGCTTCTCTGCGGAAAAAAAAAAAAACATGTTGAATATGTGTTCCCCAAGGGTTGCTCTCAGGAATTCCAGCGCCGAGTTGACAGCCTAAATCCTGGGCCTATTTTCCGACCTGAAGGGATTCCCAGCTGGAGATGTTCCCAGATGTTCCCAGATGTTCCCAGCTCCTGATGTTCCGTCCGGGAAGCAGCCACGCCAGCCACCGCCAACACGTCCCTCCAGCCACACGAGGGCGCGCTCGCCTTCCCACCGCCGCAGCTTCCGGAAGCCGAGCGCTTCCGCCTCGCGTCGGGACCGCCCATCGCCTCCAGCGGGTGAGCGGTGGGGCGGTTCTTTAGGACACTCTTCCAGACTGTTCCTCGCGGACCAGCTCCGGGGAAGACGGCAGGCGTCAGGAGCCGCCGCTCACACTGTGGCGTGGTCCGCTTTGTTTCCGCTCCGCCAGAGGCTCGCCGCCGCCGCCGCCGCCTCCCCCCCTCCCACGGGGCGTGTGGTACAGTCCGGCCGCGCCGGCGCCCCGCCCCTCTCTGGAGGCTCGGCCTCTATTGGCCGGGCGCCGGGGTCACGCTGCGGGGGGCGGGGCCGGCGGGGCGTGCAGGCCCGCGTGCCCGCGCCGCGCGTCGCCGCTGCTCTCTGCTCAGGTCGGGCCGCGGCTGGGCGAGGCGGGCGAGGCCGGCCGGGGGCAGAGGGCCGGGGGTCGGCGGGCCCAGGGGGCCGGGGGTCGGCGGGGCCCAGGGGGCGGCGGCCCCAGGAGGCGGCGGGCCCGACGGGCGCTTCCCGCGGTGAAGGAGGACCGGCCGGGGAGCGCCTCCGCCGCCCGCGTCCGCACGCAGCGGGATTCCATGTTCCGGTGGAAACCCGAGGTGCAGGTGACTCTGCTGCGTGCACTTGTCACGTGCACAGCGCACCCCTGGTCTGGGGTGACCGAGGATGTGCAAGGACTCGGGGGGCTGCGGGGGGCGGACCGGGGCTGGGAGCCACAGGTGGGGAGCAGGAAGACGCTGCGGACGCGCGTTGACTGCAAACACGATGCACCAAGTCTTCACCTACTTTGTTGATTTTTTTTCCCCCCTAGAAGAGCGAAGAATTGGATTGTTGCGCATCGATCTGCGTTAGAGATCTTTTGAAGCCCAAAGGAAGACATTCTGTTTGAGTCTCTTGCTATGGTAAGTGGCCTGCCAGGCTCTCTATGTGAATGATGTGGATTTGGGGAAGGTAGACAGGGAAAAAAGGGATTGGAGGAGACACAGCGTCCTTTCCCAGCCCCTGGGGGAGCAGTGTAGTAAGACTGAGCCCCAATCCTGCTGATTTCAGAAGCTGGACGTTGAAGCCGGGCTCTGCCAAGGCTAGCTGGGAGTTCTGGGGCGATGGTGTAACTGCCCTAAGGGTGACATTTGTTCCCAGCAATGCCTGCTGGGTTCTTGCTTCAGGTTAGCTTGGAGATAAAAAGCCAGGAATTGGTCGTATTTCATTTGCAAAGTGACCTGTTGAATGTTGAAAAGGAAGAGAAAGCGCCCCCTCCCCCCGGAGGAATCTGGGAGATGGGGTGGCTGGAGCGACCCCAAGGTGCTGGGTCCCTAAGGCTGCCCTGGCTCCTCTTGGGCCGCACCCTCAGAAGGCCTCCCCCCCTTAGGAAGTGGCTGGGCAATTCCTGTGCTTTCCTCTTCGACCTGTGATTTCCTGGCCACGGGCTGAGGGACCCACAGTTGGCCTAGCTGACAAATGGCAGGCTGCTCAGGGTTCACACGCTGTCCGGTGGGCCAGAGAGAATGGCCTGCTAAGGCTTGTCCCTGGGCCCGACCCAAGAATTTATTGGGTTCCGATGGTTTTGTCTCTGTAAGGGGAACTCACTGGAGTATCCAATTTATAGGCTTCTTACACAGTTGCATGAGCTAATTCAAGACAATCCCAAACCTTAAAGCCTTTAGAGTAAGTGTCATCTGTTTATATTTTCTGCAGACTCTGATGATCCCATTCGTCTTTTAATTTAAGTGTACCCTTGAGCTCAGAAGTTGTAACTTGGCCTGCCTCCTTATTTTCTGCACCTTGGCTGTGACAAATACTGTGTCGTTAGAAAGAAGTACGGGAAGAGTCCGAGCCGTGCTTTTTGCCAGACACACCGTGTTATGGCCATGGAACAGCTAGTGTGAGAACTCTTGTAGCAATATTTGTATTTTTCAGTTCTAGGTACCAGGGATGTTTCCAGAAACAAAAAACTAAAATCCTAACCATAAAAGAAGTTGTATTCCAATAGAGAAACAAATGAATAATAATACAAAGTATATGCCACTTGCCTGGTGATATTAGAGGGTGCAGCCAGTGATATAGCAGCACCCCGTGACAGTGGGCAAGTGGAATGTGGCTGTGTCCTCCGCCCTGTGTCCTGAAGGTGGGGCCTAACAGCCAGGAGTGTTAATTCAGTCCTAAGGAAGCCCTCAGCCACTCCCCCTCCCACCTAGGTGTTCACTCCTGCCCACCTGTGACTCACCTATCACCTGAGGGGGGCGCTATCGCATTGTTGTGTAACCACACCCCTCACAGGCCCCTCTAAAGGCTCATGATAAGGAGGGGCTCACTCTCTAGGTCACATGCTTCCATTGCTCTGGCACTCCGACTCTGGGCTGCCCCAGCACCTCTGAGGACAGGTGTCCCCTGAGCATGGCCCCTTGTGTCTGTATTCCTCACCCTCTGTTCACTGCTTGGGTGGGACAGTGAAGCTAGCAATGCTAAGATGCCTTGCATTTCTAATTTGTGTACTGTCAGGAGTTCCAGCAGAGGTGAGGCCTAGCAGTAGTGGAATGTGGGCAGAGAAGCCACGGCAAGGGGAGTGTCTGCAGCTTTGTAAGTGTGCCCAGGTTGTTGGCTGTGTGCCTCTTAGGATAACTTCTATTGTTGGGGAGGCTGGGACGTAGGTCTTCAGCTTAACAGATGGACTTGAGGGTAATGACCATCTGTTCGTCTTGGGGTTTCAATGGACTGGATTGCCATGTGGACTTGTGATTTGCTATTTCTAGTGGGTCCTGTTCTCACCAAGCTTGGTTAATAAAGACTGGTTAATGAACCTGAGACATGTCTGGTGTGATCTCGCTCGCACCCCGATGCGTGTGCTGGAGAGTAGTGTGGTCAGGAGGAATGGACTGTTGGACGTGGGAGACTCGCCATGTGATTCTTTTTGAGGAGTTAACGTTCAGGTAGAGACTGCAGTCACGAAGGGCAAGCTGTGTGTAGGAGAAACAGCATTGCAGAAGGCCCGAGAAAAGAGCCTATGATGCTAAAGATATTTGGAGTACCGTAATGTGGCAGATATGAGAAACTTTGGTTTGGGTGGGAGTGAAAACACCGACTGTGACATCAGCATCCCATGTGCAGGTTCATGTCCTGGCTGCTCCTGGGACCTGGAGGTGATCTGAGCGGATGCTCTGCCTTGCCTGTCTCTTGCTGTGTGCCCATCTGGGGAGTGAACCAGCCAATGGAAGTTCTCTTTCCCTCTTTCTTCTCTAGCTCTGATTTTCAAAGATGAATGAATTTTGAGGTTTTTTTTTTTAGAAAGTCAGATATACAGAGGAGAAGGACTCCTCATGCTGCCACAATGGCTGGGGCTGAGCTGATCTGAAGCCAGGATCCAGGAACTTCTTCCGGTTCTCCCACACGGGTGCAGGGTCCCAAAGCTTTGGGCCGTCCTCGACTGCTTTCTCGGGCCACAGGCAAGGAGCTAGATGGGAAGTGGAGCTGCTGGGAGCACCCATATGGGATTGGCTACTGCTCCAGGCCCAGTGAATGAGTCTTAAGAACCCAACTTAAGGTTTTATTCTGAGAAGAAACAATGAGAATGTTTTAAACTAGGGAAATATCCTGGTCTGACTTTGAGGTTTCACAACCAAGCTGTATTCTGTATGTTCTGGTGTCTAAGAGACTTAATTCTGGGGAAAAAAAATTGATTTTCTCAGGTGTTCTTTCTTCTTCATGTCCCGTGCTTTACTGGATTAGTGAAAATGTAACGAGGTAATGGTCAGACTGGCTTACTCTAGTCCTGCACTAAGCTTTCAGAAAGTCACTGCCTTGTGCCAGTACTGGTCTCCCTCTGTGCTTATCTCTGTATATTTTTTACTAGTTGTGCTTCTGAGTTGGAATTGTTTGTGACATTAATCACTCATTAGTTGAATTATTTTAAATGGATTTGGAGCAGGTTGTGTGTAAGAGTTAGGCATAAAGAATGGGCCGAATGGTAAGAAAATTTGTGCAGATCAAAGGGGACTTTAGAAAATAATGTAAACCTCTGATTTGTTGAGTGTCTGTCCACAGCTGGACGCTGGGCTTTGTCCTTGGTGACAGCGTCTCAGTGTTCGTAACGGCTGCGAGAGTCTTATGGCAGCTTACCTGTTTTAGCAAAGGAAAGATTGAAGCTGAAGGGAAATAGTTAGTCAAGTTATTATAGTTATAGGAGTGCAGAGTAGGAATTTGAGCCAAATTCTGACTTCAGAGATGACACTTTCAGTTTCCAGAATATACCAGTCTTCTGCCATCTTGTTTTTCAAAAGCAAAAATAAGATGCTGTGAATTTTGAAGTGATTTCAGACGTAGAAACAATTACAGAGTAGTACAAAAAAGTCCCCTAAACGCGGTTCATATTCTGTCATGTTATCATTCTGTATACACGCACATGTGTATATCTATGTTTGTTTATAAAAAAGATTAAATTGGAGGCGGAGTGCCTCTTCTCTAACCGAAGTCATTGAACCCTGATGTCCTAAGGTGTGTAATGAATAATTTCTCTCCTGTGCATGTATTGTGCTACTAACTACATGCTGTCCTCGGGGGAATAGTTATTCCACTGTGTTTTATGCCTTAATTCTGAGCCTGTCCCAAATCCATATTTCCTAAAGACAAATACACTGACCAGGAGGTTAATATTCATGTGGTACTAGTCTGCTCTCCAGACTGACCAAACCTTTATGGCAAATGAAGGGCAATACTTCTCTGTGCTATTACAGAAAGATGGGGTCGGGGAGGGATGAGGTAGTATTTCATCTGCTAGTTCACTCCTTAGACAGTGGCAGTGTCTGGGGCTTGGCCAGGCTGACGCCGGCAGCCGTAGGATGATTCACTCCCCAAGTGGCCACAACAGCCAGAGCTGAGCTGATGTGCAGCCAGGAGCCAGGAACCTCCTCCAGGTCTCCGACGCAGGTGCAGGATCCCAAGGCTTTGGGCCGTTCTTGGCTGCTCTCCCAGGCCACAAGCAGGGAGCTGGATGCCGGGAAGCAGAGCTGCCGGGATTAGAACTGGTGCCCATATGGGATCCCGGGCATACAAGGCGAGGAGGACTTTAACCACTACACTATCGCACCGGGCCCAAGTCCTGGATTTCCTAACATTGAACAATTTCCTAATAGCACAATTTCCAAACACCACATCCTTTGACCAAATCCCACTAATCGTGGTGTTTTGCCTTATTAATATGAAGTGAGATTTTGTTACTAGGCTGTAAAATATTTTGTACTCTTTAATCTGGCCATCAATAATTGACAAAGGATTAGAAAATCTTTCTTTAGTGCTATGGAAAACATTAATGATGCTTTCATTTTACTTGGTTTCTCAGGTTTCTTAGAATTCCGTTAAGAACAATCTGGGCCTAAAGCCTTTGTGGGTGCAGTTCTTTGACAAGACTGTTTTCTCGTGAGTCCGCTCTGAGAAGTCTGTTCCTGTAGAGATCTGCGGAGCGGCCTGTCTGTCGGGTAGTTCCTTCTCCTTCGTTGTTTTGTTTTTGTTAGGTCAAGGTTGTATAAATCTTTCAAAATAAAATGAATTTAATTTCTAATTAAGTTGATTATTTTTCTGTTCTGTAATTCACTGATTTTCCTTTACAGCCTTTTGTCTCTGTGGATGTTAAATTTTAGCTTGTTCATTTCAGTTCTCCCATTGATAAAAGTTTGGTTACGCGTATGAATATTCTCTTTATCACTGCTTCTGTTTTATTCCGTAGCTTTTAGCATGTGATGCTAGGGGTTTTGTTCTTGGTTTTGTTCTTTGGATGATGTGTGTGTGCTTGAGAAGGCGTGCTCTTGCTGGTGGGTTTTCAGCTCGCTCTGTCCCCAGGTGTGCTTTCAGTGAGTTACTTTGGACTTCTGTCTTGCTTCACCTGCGGTTGCTGTGTCTTTGCTGAGATGGG